GCAAACAGGAACTCCCACAATGCAACATTCTACCTAAAGGCTACTATATAGTTGGGAGATGGAAGGCTACTCCACAGATGTATGAACAGGTTGAACCTTTTATAAATAAACATCTAGTGAAGAGAAAAATGATAACTCATCCTATACTCAGAACTCTCTAGGGCAGATGGGTGGGGGTGGTCAGAGGCCTGCATCCTCACTGGTTAGGGGCCCAGATGACCACAGCATGCGGCCGTCAGGGGCAAGGCCGGGGGCAACAGACAATGGGCACCAGGACACTGTGCATTTTAAGACCAACTACCAAGGGGGCAGCTGCCCCATGCGTGTGTGTCAGGCTGTTCATTCTGGAATGGGAAGGGGGCAGTCTTTACATCATATACTGTGGTTAGTGGGCTTGGAGGGGGCTACTCTGTGGACAGGATGAGGGCGTCAATGAGAGTGTAGAGGCTGAGCACCATGGCTGAAGATGAGGGTCAGGATCATGCCCACAAACAGCTGGGGCTGCTGGGAAGTGCCCTGCACACCAGCACACCCAGCAGTGCTGATAGCAAAGCCGGCTGCCAGGCCACTCAGGCCCACACTCAGGCCAGCGCCCAATTGGAGCAAACTCTTGTAAAGGCTGGTGCTGTCATTCAGAGAGTTCGCTATGAGGACTGCCATCGCCAGGCCGGACATGGCGATAATGCTAGCCATGACCACAGGCATGATGGACTTCATGATCAGCTCTGGCAGCATGGCGGACATGGCCACAATACCAGTGCCTCTTTGACTGTGCCATAGGTGGCACCCAAGGTGCTGAAGACCATGGCAGCCGAGGTGCCCATGATGAAGAACAAACCATATTTGCAGTTGGTCCTTCTCTTGGACATGTCTGCAGGTGGGCAGGGGGAGAGCTCAGTGGGCCAAGAAGTGGGCAAGGAAGGGCCGGGAACGGTGGGCAGACACAAATGCAAACAAATAGGCAGCAGTGAGGGCAATTTAAATATACTTTTAAATAAACAGACATCACAAGAAGGAGGAAAATTCTTAGAATCCACAACCCCCCCCCAAAAAAAGGGAAAGCAGGAATCAGGTGGGTTTGGTGGTGACAAACTCAACAGTTACCTAAAGAGTGTTTGCCAGTTCCCAATAATTGAGAATTTTAGGTTTTAGTGTCCAAACAAAAGACAGGCCTCATAGAATTTCCAAAGATAAATCTTGGCAAATATAAACTCAAAATGATCCCAAAACACACAAAGTAACAAGTCACCATGAGTAAAAGTCAACAGACTTATATTACCCCAAAGACTTCATGTATTGAAATGATAGGATATAGAACATAAACTTTAAAAGAGAGAAATTTAAAGTGAGTTGATAGTGCCAAAATCAACTGTGATGAAAAGGAGTCTAAAATATACTGTTAAGTTAGAAAAGAAAGGGGGTGGAAGAGAGTGGAGTATTACATGTTATAAAACACTAGGGTTAATATGTCTCAATTTCTGTTTTTGAAAAAACATATTATACACACACACACACACACTTACATAATAATATATAAGTAAAAAAATGGAAAGAGGTTAATAGGCAGGCTATTAACAGTGATTACATCTAGGGAATGAGACTGGTGGAGTTAACTCTGATATGTACAGTTATATCTAGTTTGGATTTTTTTTTTAAATTGTGGCTGGCTGGTAACAGGATGAAAAAAAAATTTTTTTTAACAGTGAGCATGTTTTACTTTTATCAGTTTAAAAAAATAAGCCATGTGAGTCTTTTTGCTTTTGTGGTGTGTTATGAAAGGGAAAGGGTAAAGTTTAGAATGTCAGCTAAGAAACCAAGCTAGGGAAATCGTGTAGAAAGGAGAGACCTCAGAACTGCTAAGCAAGAAGAACTAGCAAGAATAACTGAATAATAAAGGAGATAGCAGATGGAAATGATTGCAAAATTAAAAGCTAGAATGCCCCAGTGAAGCAATCCTACTGATGATACTGGATGGCATAAAAGATAATTAGTTCGATTTATGTAATGCAGATATCTAAGTAGACCTTTAGGCTGAAAGTATTAAATTAAAATCTATATTTAAGGATGAAAACTTAAACCATGTGATTAAATATAATTTTCCAAGAAGTAATGGTAGAGAAAAAAAGTCCAACATCTAATACTTATGACTGGTGCGCTGTAGGAAAAACTGCAAAGAGGACCAAGGTAGGAAGAAAACCAAAAGTCAGAAAGAATGGCAAGTAGAAGAGGGTAATCAATAAGCCAAATGGTAATAAGGTCCAGAGGAATTAAGTTCATAAAAGTCAGCAGATATGACCAAGAGAAATACTGGTAACCCCAGGATGAGCAGTTTCCATGGAGGTGTGAAAAGAGAACCCTCATTTCAGGAAGCTGAGTATTGGATTTGAAAGGAATCTTACAAAAGGCTACATGTGTCAATTCAGGCCCAACTCTAAACTCAAAGCTCCATAATTACCCATTAGCTTTTGACCCATACAAGCTATGTGACCCCTGTCTCAGTTCCCCATCTATAAAACTGAGATAATAGTAGGGCCTACGTCATAGGGCTGGTGTGAAGACTAAATGAATCAAGGCAGATATAGTGCTATGTTGTCCCCTACATGTTACTGGGAAAAGCCATACATGCTTAAAAGCAGACACAAGGAGAGGTAATTTAAAGATGGTGCTTTCTCTTTTTACAAGTGAAAATACAAAAACAGAGAGATCAAATAATTTCCTAAGATTACTAGGAAAAATAACTCAGGTAATTTAATCCTGAGTCCAGAGCTCCACCTATCCAATTACGCAGGTATTTTGAAAAGGAAAGGCAGGAAATCTAGAAGTAAATTCCAGATTACAAGAAAGAAGATATTTTATCTCCCAATAAAATCTAAAAAAGAAACAGAACAAAAGTAGCACATGATCCAGATGAAAGTTAATTAAATCTAAGAAAGCAGAGAAATAGAACTGACAGATAAACACAAGCAGACAAAATATATACGGTTGTAAAAAAGGATAAAGTAAGAAAGAAGGATATTTAAAATAGGGGAAGGGGAATTCTTCCCAGCACGGGTTTACATCATTTACTCTTTTGCTTTCTGAGTGTTGATGATAATCTATCATCTTTAAACATACCTTTCATCTTCAATGGACTCCATATACTAATGTCAGACTACAAATGGTTATCACTTAGGTTAACACTTCCATCCACTCAAATGTTAAACAAGATTAAACTCTTTAATTTTAGAGTTTGTGAGCACTGAAAAGGCATCTGATCTTATTATTAATCAACTAAATGCGAAGTAAGATGTTTTGTTTGCCTATAAAAATTAGCAGTTTGGGCCGGCCCGGTGGCGCACTGCTATAGTGCACCGCTTGGGAAGCGTGGTAGCGCTCCCGCCGAGGGTTCAGATCCCACATACAGACCGGTTCCTGCTCACTGGCTGAGCGAGGCACGGGAGCGACACCGAGGGTTGCGATCCCGTTGCCGGTCCCAGTCCGGTACGGGGGTGACACTGAGGGTTGCAATCCGTTGCCGGACACGGAAAAAGACAAAAAAAAAAAAAAAAAATTAGCACAGTTTTTGGAAAATTCAGTGCTGGTAAAGGCGGGTAAGACAGATACTCTTATTTACTAGTGCTGTCAAGTACAAATTGATATAACCCTTTTTTGTGTGTGTGGCTGGCCAATATTGATATAACCTTTTTGAAAACGAATTTTGCATACCAAGAGAGTTATAATGTGTCCCAGAAATTCCATGTCTAGGATTTTACCCTAAGGAAATAATTCGAAAATGGAAAAAGCTCTATGCATAAAGACATCACTGTCTTTTGTAACAGTGAAAAACTGGAAACAACTTAAATGTCCAACATCGGGGATATTAGGGGAAGTAAATTACAATATACTCATTGAGTCAAATATTATGTAGCCATAGAAATATTTTCTAAGAATTTATAATATGGAAAAATGCTTACGCCAAAGAAAAAGTTAACAAGTAACACATACTGATTATACATTTTGACCATGTTAAAAATATATACAGAAATAAGGGCCGGCCCGTGGCTCACTCAGTAGAGTGCGGTGCTAATAACACCAAGGCCCCGGGTTTGGATCCCACATAGGGATGGCCGGTTCGCTCACTGGCTGAGTGTGGTGCTGACAACACCAAGTCAAGGGTTAAGATCCCCTTACCGGTCATCTTTAAAAAAAAAAGAAAAAAGAAAGAAATGAAAAAACAAAGATACAAAGAAAAAAATTTTGAAACAAAAATAAATACTGAAATAAATACTAAAAGGAAATAGAGTAGACTCCAATATTTGGAAAGTTAACATTTATAATTCCTATCATTTGAGAATGACCTTAAAGGTCTATGACTTGTAATAATTTGTAATTTTTCGAAGGCATGAGTCTGAAACATGCCAGGTGACTGAAACTCAGGAGTGAGTCACTTAACAAGAGAGTGAGCTGGGGGAGGAGAGGCTGGGAATGTTGGGCCTGTGTCTTTCCTGTACAACCTCCTTGCCCCCACTTCTAAGGAAAACACAGGGCTACTGACAGTAAGTAAGGGAACAGATGACTATGGTTTAGAAGGTATGGCCAGTCACCAATGAGTTTAATAAAGCATATGAAGGTGGCTTTATCATTCCGTACTCAAATATGAAAATCTGACTTTTTGGTTATATCTTATTTTATGGGGACAATTACGTCCTATAGTGCTATTTGTAAATGAGGGCATTCACAAAGGTGTTGGGGTATATCCCCCCTTTGGAATGTCATAAGTATACTGTAAATCAAAATATTAAAACCACTTAGATTGTGTTACTATATGAAAAAGTTTGTTTTCCATATATACCTTTTTGTATTTTTAAAATGTTCCACAATGAGAGGGAAGAAAACTAAAAATTAACTTAGCTCTAGAATATAAGAACTTTTTCTTTCCTAGACCAAGTAAGGTGTGTGATAGGAAAACCCAACAACAAAAAGAACACTGTGCAAAGCAAAGCTCTGTGTCTCATGCTCACCTTATAGCACCTGTATTTATACAGAACCACCAGGAGGATAGTCATGACAACAATGACACTGATCATGATGGCAGCATTCAAAATTGAGTGCAGGGCTCTCTGGCCCACAGTCTCAGTGTCTTCTGTGAATGGGGTATAGATTCTACAATAAAACAAAACACAAAAGCCCTAGGTTAAGTGTTAAAGAATATCCCAAACCACATACTGTCTTCAACACCAGAACTTTGTTTTCCTTGATTCAATTAATATCTAATAAGTCACTTTTCCCCATCTCACCAATCAAGCTAAGAATTTTTACCCTAAGAAAAATAGTTGTACTCTAAAATAACTGCTTCAAAATGAAAGGAAATATCTAAGATATAGAGACACAGATTTACCTGTGAGGCAGACACTGGCTCCATCTAGTGTTTGCTTTATAATAAAATAATTACCTCATCAAATATTCTTTCTCCACACTTTTTGGTAATTTGTTAAAGAAGCAGATTCTGCCACATAAACTACCTAGGCGTACAAGTGGCTGTCAGAAAAAAGTAATATGGCTCATAATTATTGTTTTTCATCTGTAGGGTGATTGCAACTGAAGAAGTCTTGATATAATATCACACGCAGTTATCTTCCCCTTGTTTCTCATTCAGATAAGAACTTTTCTTCCAGGTGCCAATGTTCCCAGCCAAAAGACTATTTCTGACTCCCTTATAGTCAGGTATGGCCATGAGACAAAGTAATGGCCAATAAGTTATAAGCAGATGTGTTGTGTATAGAACTTTTAAGAAAGGAGTAAATTCTGCTGAGAGAGATGTCCTAAGTCTTTTCCTCCCCTACTCCTCCCTGCTGTCTGAATGAAGGCTGAGGACCCTGAAGTAACCTATAGGATAGAAGCTGAGGAAGAAGAAAGAAGAAGCCTTAGTCCCAGATAAATGTGAAGCCACTGTACCAATCTAGACTTCTTAGCTCAGCACTACTCTATGGCGGAGAGAGAAAATACATGTATCATTTAAACCAGTTGGTTTGATTTTCTGTAACAGGTTCAGCAAACTTTCTGAACCTAAAGGGCTACATATAAAATATTTTAAGCTTTGTGGGTCATATGGTCTCTGCTGCAACCACTCAACTCTGCCAATGTTGTGTGTAACTAGCCATAAACAGTATTTAAATGAATGGGCATGGTCACGTTCCAGTGAAAGTTTATTCACAAAAACAGGTGGCAGGCAGATCTGGCCTGTGGGCTGTAGCTTGTCAACCCTTGTTCTATAATATGTGACTAAACCTAAACCTAACTATACAGATAATACTCCCTAATCCCTTTAGCTATTGTTGCTAACCCCTGCCTTTCACTCACTGTTTAGGCATTTTCCCAAGAGGCTAAAAGACTGGCTTTCAGAACACCATGCAGTTTTTCAGACACTTCCCAATTTCAAATTCTAAAACTCTTCCTTGGGCCCCATGAAAGTCCTAGAGACAGAACTAGATGATATCTGAGTTGAAGCATTTCTCTTGGAGGCCAAGGGCTGATACCAGGAGCACCAAGGAATCTTTATCACAGCTCCACCAGAGTCTAGAGAGTGCCAGCTTCCACTAGTCACCTTTTCAATTAACAACATTTTTTTCTTTTTTTTTAAATTTTTTTTCCTTTTTGTCTTTTTTCATGACCGGTAACGGGATCGCAACCCTCAGTGTTGCGCCCACACCACGCTCAACCAGTGAGCGGACCGGTCTCTATATGGGATCCGAACCCTCGGCGGGAGCGCCGCCACACTCCCAAGCGCCGCACTCTACGGAGTGCGCCACCGGGCCGGCCCGATCAATTAACAACATTTTTTGCCGACCATTTATGATGTACCTTGCACTGGAGGCAAAGTACACAAATAGGCCTTACAGTAAAGAAGGAAATCAGTCATTAAACAATGTAAATAAATACATACATGTATTTACAAATTGTGACAAGTGAAAAAGAATAGGTTGCTAGGAGAAAGAACACCAGGAAGGACCTAATTCTCTTAAAAGGATCAGGTAAGTTTATCTTTGAGGATTTAACATTTAACCCAAGATGAGAAGAGTGATAGGAATTTAACCCACCAAAGTTAGAAAAGGAAAGAACATACCAGGCAGAGGAACAATGGGCCCAATGGCCCTGAGGTGGGAAAGATTACACTTTATTTCCTCAATTCAAAATAAATTCAGCCCTATCCAGTGACATCATACAGGAAACATAATTATTTCAGTGATCATTTCCTCCATTTAAAGCATAACCCCTTATTCTTTCAAATGCTCTGGCCATCAGACAGGATGAACTCTCTAGCTTTCACACCCCTTTGCTGCAGAGGACTTCAAGTTGATAATGACATGCTAAGGCTATGAAAAAAAGCCACACTGGTTATGAGAATAACAAAACATCCATACATACAGCTGCCCATCCTTCCGGGTATAAAAGCTGACTGACTTGATGGTAGCCACGACCACCACCATGCAGAGAGTCACGGGGACAAAGAGCATGATCACATGTTTGGCGCCATATTTCAGTGTCAGTTCCTCATCATCTTCCTCCTCTTGTTCCACAATCTGCTGTGAGTTACCCTGGGGTTGTCCATTAGATATCGGCTCAGGGTTGCCAAGTCTCCTGCTGTGCTCCTGCCGTTCTCTATTGTCATTCTAAAAGCACAAGAGACAACTTTCAATAAACCAGACTCTCAGCAGAATCAATGTATTCTACATCAAAAACAGAACATGTTAACAATTAGACCTGGGATTAACAATACGTCCATCATTACTTGAGTTCTAAACACTTGAGGCAAGAAAGACCAAACATGCAGGAAGTATGTAGTTTAAAAGTATACATTATTTACCATTGTTCCCTGAAGGCACAGGTCCACCCCTTTACCCGGGTCTTGGCTCACTTCATTCTCTTCCTTTCTCAACCTAATACAATTCTACCCATCCTTTGAGGTGTGGTTTACATACTGATACCTGCATGAAACCTTCTTTATCTGCTGCAGCTGTAAGGAGAGTAATGTCACCTTTTCCAAATTCAGGAAGTGCTTCCTACCTGTGGTTTCATACTAGTTATGCAAGAAACCATCTTACTTTCATTATTAGTAAGACTTTAAAATCCTTGTAGTGATGTTCAAGGGATCTCTTTGTATTATTTCTCGTAATTGCACATAAAGCTGCAATTATCTCAAAAAATTATTTAATTAAAAATCCTCACAGAGAGAAAGAAGGCCTTAAACAATTCTGATGGCCCATCTCCCTACCTTCCCCGCTCCCACCAAGCCCAGTATACAGTAAGAGAATAATAAATACTTGATGAATAACTGAATGAAATTAGAACCTTTCTTAGATTCTACTTTTCTCAGAACCTTAAGTCAGACACTATTTTGTTATTTTTATCCTTATCATGGGTTTATCTTTTCCTGTTCTTCAAGTTTAACTTCTTTTTTGGTATCACTGTTCACCTTAAAACTGGGTCTTTGTAAAGGGTAGAATGAATAACAAGAGCAATAACAACAATACTAAAAATAATAGGTGACAGAAAAAAAAAGGCACTCTTTCTCACACGTAAGCAAACAGAATAGGAGACAAAAGTAGATTGATAGTCACTGTTGCTGGTAAAATAAAATTAGCTGATTAAGCTAGGATTCTCATAAGAAGATCATTTGAGAACAAGTCACTCTTATACCTCATTTTTGATTGCAGAGTATAACAGTATTATATACAGCATTACTGTTATTCATTAAAAATACATTCCACATTTACTAATAGCTTAAAGTGATTACAATGAACTGTGGACTGTGATACATGCTTTACACTTAATTCTCACAGTCTTCCCATCATCACCACTTTACAGGTGAGGAAAAAGTCAGTTACTAAGTGTTACAGAGAGGGTTTGAACCCGGGTTGGCCTGACCCCAGAAATCAAGTTTTTTACCATCTCTTAATATGCCATTCACAAGGCAATATTGGAGCTCTACAGACTCACTGTGGGCTGAAGAGGGAAGTCAGATAACAAATCATAATGGACTAGGAATTGAATGGAAATTGAGAAAGTAAAGTCAATCATTTTTTTTTTTTTTTTTTTTTCCCTTTTTGTCTTTTTTTTTTTACTGACCGGTAACGAGATGGCAACCCTCGGTGTCGCGCCCGTACCGGGGACCGGCAACGGGATTGCAACCCTCAGTGTTGCTCCCGCACCGTGCTCAGCCAGTGAGCGGGAACTGGTCTCCACATGGGATCCGAACCTCGGCGCCTCCCAAGCGGCGCACTCTCCAGTGCGCCACTGGGCTGGCCCAAGTCAATCATTCTTTGAAGAAAAAAAAAAAAAGGTCTGATAATAGAGAGGGATTCAAACTTGAAACAGTTATTTCAGAGCTGTTAGAGATTTGAGCCTATGTGAAAGGTCAGTTAAGACAAGAGAAAGAGATTAAACATATAAAACGGGGATGATAACTAATGGAATAGGGTAGGGGAAAAAGTAGGGGAACAAAAAAGAGAATCCCTCTCCCTCAGTCAGGGGTTCAGGAAGTAACTCTTTTACCTCACAGAGAAGATATTTATGAAGACCTAAACTCTATGAGGAGTGGAAAGAAAATTATCCCAAAGCATAAAAAGCAGAAATATATACACCACCCACCAAAAAAGATAGTTTTTGCTGAACATAAGTCATCGGAGTGGCTAAAATCCAGTAGATGGAAATGATTATGAGGAAGGTGAGGCCTGGAGGACAGGGACATAGTGTGATAAATAGCTATCTTTATATAGTATTTGATAATTTACAAACAACTGTCACATTATCTCATTTATTCTTTTCTAAACTTGAGAGGTTTTGGTAGATGAGCACACGAGCAATTTGTCCAAAATCTCACAACCAAAAAACAGCAGAGGCAGGCATTAAATTCAAGTCTCTTGCTTCAAAACCTGTGTTCTTTCTATGGCACCACAGCCATCCTACTGAGCTATGTGAACAGTTTAATCAGATAAATGTAGCACGAAACAGGCAATCACACAGGTGATCACACGCTCATTCATCATACTCAACTGGATGTTCTGGTTTATAAAGAACATTAGGCTACCCTGCCCCTGAGGCTGATAATGGGATATGTTCACTGTAGCATTATTCACTACAGCCAAGAGGTAGAAGTAACCCAAATGTCCACTGACAGACAAATGGATAAAGAAAACATGGAGGGCTGTCCAGTTAGCTTAACTAGTTAGAGCACAGCCTCATAACCCCAAGGTCATGGGTTTGGATCCCTGCACCAGCCAGCCACAAAAACAAAACAAACAAAACACAAAAAAACATGGTATATACATATGACAGAATATTACTCAGCCTTAAAAAACAAGGAAATTCTGTTGCCCGCTACAATGTGGATGAACCTTAATGACATTATGCCAAGTGAAATAAGAAAGTCACAAAAAGACAAATACTGTATGATTCCACTTATATGAGGTACCTAAAGTAGTAAAATTCATAGAAACAGAAAGTAAGTACAATTATGATTGCCAAGAGCTGGGGGAAGGGAGAAATAAAGAGGTGTTCAGGGAGTACAGAGTTTCAGTTTTTGCAAGTTGAAAAAGTTCTAGAAATCTGTTACACAACAATGGGAATATAGTTAATGGTACAGAACTGCACACTTAAAAATGGGTAAGATGGTAAATTTTATGTGTTTACTACAATTTAAATTCTTTTTTTAGTTAAAAAAAAAAAGATAAAATAAATGTAGACACATACTGTGTTCACAGATTAGAAGACTCAAATTGTTAAGATGTCAATTCTACCAACCATCCTTCCCCAAACTGATCTACAGATTCAACACTATTTTTTTTTTTGGCAGCTGGCTGGTAAGGGGATCTGAACCCTTGACCTCGGTTATAACACCACACTCTAACCAACTGAGCTAACCAGCCAGCCCATTACTGCAATCTTAATCAAAGTCCTAGCAGGCTTTTTTGTAGAAATGTTTAGAACCTAGAATACCCAAAACAAGCTGGAAAAAAAAAAAAAAAAGACAAAGCTAAAGAATTAATATCACTTACTTCAAGACTTATTATACAGTTATGGTAAATCAAGAAAATGTCTATCTTTGTACTGGCACAAAGATAGACAAGTAAGCAAATAGAACAGAACAGAGAGCTCAGAAACAGATTAATACATATATGGACAACCGATTTTTGCCAAAGGTGCAAAGGCATTTCAGTGAAGATAGTCTTATTAAAAAAATGGTGCTTGGGCCGGCCTGTGGCTCACTCGGGAGAGTGCGGTGCTGATAACACCAAGGCCACGGGTTCGGATCCCATATAGGGATGGCCGGTTTGCTCACTGGGTGAGCATGGTGCTGACAACACCAAGTCAAGAGTTAAGATCCCCTTACCGGTCATCTTTAAAAGAAAATAAAAAATGGGCCGAGCCCATGGCGCACTCGGGAGAGTGTGGCGCTGGGAGCACAACAGCGCTCCCGCCGCGGTTCAGATCCTATATAGGGATGACCGTTGCGCTCACAGCGCTCACTGGCTGAGCGCGGTGCGGCCAGTCTCAAAAAGGACAGACAGACAGACAGACAAACAAACAAATAAATAAATAAATAAACAGGCAAATTACCAAGGCAAGGGTTAAGATCCCCTTACCGGTCATCTTTAAAAAAAAAAAAAAAAAAAGAAATGGTGCTAAAACAATTAAATAGTCGTATGCAGAAAAATGAACTTTGATCCATACCTTGTACCACATACAAAAATCATCCTAAACTGGATCATAAACCTTAATGTAAAACATAAAACTATAAAGCTCTCATATCAAAATGTAGGTGAGGCTGACCAGTTAGCTCACTTGGTTAAAGCATGGTACTGATAACACCAAGGTCAAGGGTTCATATCCCCTTACCAGCCAGCTGCAGGAAAAAAAAAAAAAGAAAAGAAAATGTAGGAAAAAACTTGAGAACTTAGGTTAGACTAAGAATTCTTACATATGACACCAAAAACAAAATCCATAAAAGACAAACTGATAAAAGACTGCACCAATATCTAAAGTTTCTGCTCTTCGAAAAACGTTGTTAATAAAAAGACAAGCCACAGACTGGGAGAAAATATTTGCAAAGCATACATATTATAGAAGACTTATATCCAGAATATATAAAGAACTCTCAAAATTCAACAATATGAAAACAATTTTAAAATGGGCAAAAGATCTGAACAAACATTTCACCAAAGAAGATATCAGGATGACAAATAAGCATATGAAAAGATACTTGACATAATTACTCATTAGAGAAGTGCAAATTAAAACCACAATGACATACTACTACATACTCTCTAGAAGTGCTAAAAAATTAGAAAGACTGACCATATCAAGTACTAACAAGGATGTGGAGGAACTGGAACTCTCACACACTGCAAGGAATGTAAAATTATACAACCAATTTGGAAAACTGGTAGTATATTAAAAAGTTAAATATACACTTACCATACTGGATCATATTCTACTCCCACGTATTTGCCCAGGATAAATGAAAGCATATGTCCATACAAAGATTTGTACATGAATATCCACAGCAGCCTTATTTGTAATACCACAAAAAATGGAAACAACTCAAATATCCATCAAGTGAATGGATCAAAAAACTGTGGTATATGGGGCCAGCCCATGGCTCACTTGGGAG